AATTTCTCAGCTTCTTACATTTTTAATTTCCGTATCATTATCTGACATCAATACTTGCACTTTATGACTAAATTGATTCTCCCAGGTTTAAATAGATATATAATTTTTCTAATGCCTCAGATTTGTTTCTCAAGAAGTAAATAGTTCGAAAATGACTATTATCATTTTAGAAAATACTTTGCACCACCGAGAGAACGAACATTCATTTCTCCAAGATCAATATGTACTCTGGCATGACATTATTCGTTGGATGGGAATTTCTGTGCTGCTTGCCATACACACAACCTTCATAGACATAATCGTTCCAGTCATCAATATAGCTTATTTCATTGTTCTTCAATACATCTTTTACATGTCGAATATTTTGATGTGCTAACCGTAAATGCTAAATTTTCAAGCTAACTGCTGGCAAACTATACTATATACTCTTCCATTACACGAAATATCATGTGAAATAAACCACCTGTCCTCTTGGCTATAGGCCAGGGCAGATAAATTTTATCGTTACATAAAATTTAACAGCAAACTATCGATAGAGTATTGTGAAGGATCATTTATAGATGCTAAAAACAAAAAATGCAACATCTAATTACTTTTAGGGGATTTTATAAACAATATTTAGTGCAAAAATAGGGCTTTTTTTGCTTATTTCACTGTAGTTCGAAAACTAATGATCGGATGGTTTTCCTACTGTGGCAATAGTTTTAGAGCATTGAACAATGAGCCATCATACAACCCTGTAGGTCTTTTAGTCTTCGAGAAATGATTTTTTCCCCCAAAAAAGAGATTTTCGTAAAAAATTCCTAACTTTTTTAATTTTTATGCTAGACAATTAATTTTTTACACATACATAGTAGATGAGGCAGGCTTTATTGAGCCCAAATTTGGGCCCGGTCCGATGGGTCGTTTCGGCATAATACCCTTGTCAAGCAAAATGGGGATGTTTCTAAAGCAGTTTGTCGAATTGAGGATAATTTTTTTATATTTATTTTGAAAAGTCCACTGATAAGTCGAAATGCCAAACTATCGATCCTCTATCTCAGATTTTCCATTTAATTTTTTTATCGCAAGTAAAACGGCTTCGAACATGACTGAAAATGGAAAAAATCGGCGGGAATTCAAACGGAGTAGGCACGCAAATTACATTTTTTTTTTCCAAAGGGGAAAAGTAGAATAGATACTTGGCAGTGCGAGAAGCAGAGACGATAGCACATCTAAATCAGAATCAGAAATAAGTTTGTCCAGTGAAACCCTAACTGAAGATGTCTCTGATTCAGATGAACATCCTAGTGAAGTCATAGAAATATCAATTATTTTAGATCCATATTATGCAGTGTAGACACGCAATGGTATCTAGGAGTCAACAACTATTTATACCTACAACAAAATCGGGGTGGGGGTGGACAACCATGAAAATAAAAGTTGCTAACTTTTGGAAGAGTTGCCATTTTTTCAGTGGAAACGTGTTTTTATAAGAGAAAAGACTGTTTATTTTGGTCATATCAATGCGAAGCTTGACAATTAGATATCGTTTTTGTAATAAAATCAGCTGGAAATCGGATCATTGTAGGAAATCATCGAGGACATCAGGTAATCAATTGGGCATGATATAGGAAGAAATAGAAATCGCCTGGTAATCATACAAAAATATCTGAAAATCACTTGCAATCAGTCGCAATTCTTGGGATGGGAATACATGAGATTCATTGATCAGTGATTGCCAAATATGGAAATTATTGTACATTTGTCCTTAATGAAAATATATCAATAGAAGAGGCTCAATGACATCGGTTTATATTATACGACCGTTACTTTCCCTTCCATGTCCAAAAGCGAATATTTACAATCTCATAAGAGAAACCCCATTCTGCGGAGTAATAAAAATTAAGATTTGTTATTAAACCGCCACGTACTAGAATATAGATTTATCTATAAGCGTGTAGAAAACACCTCTTTCCAGCATTTCAGAAAAGTTTTCCAATCTGACATTACCAAACTTTCCGATAATAACCCGGTTAGCGGTTAGCTTGGCTTAGTTTGCAATTTTAATCAAACGTTACCAAAATTACCGGTATCGACCTTTTGTGACAATTCGACATTTTGTAATTCGATCTTTTTTTCGTTACCCCGAAAATCAAGTCCACAGAGTTAACATACCATCGTGTTTTACTGGAGAATTAGACATCGTGAATAGTTTTTTTTTTTTTGTGAGAGATATCTTAGAATTGCCCTACAGCAGCTCAGAAAAGAAAAGTTTTGGAGGCATTGGCTGTGGATTTTTCTATTAATCAGAATTTTATAGGAGATAGGTGACATTCTGTGGTAAATGCCTGACAGAGAATAGCTGAAATGGAACAAGTCAATCAAATGTGGCTGGACTTTATGAAAAATATCGAAGAAACAAGAAGAGGAAGTCCCAGAACAGAAAGTAAGGTATGAAGAAGAAGAAGAAGTCCGAGAACAAGAAGAATAGGAAAGGGGAATTATTGGTTTATTCTCATCATCGATTTGTTCAATTACTGTAGTATAATGGAATCGATACGTGAGTTAATTGCCAATGGATTTTATTATGTATAACAAATTTCATTCGACTCAAATCCTTGTGAAAATCAATAGGAGCCAATTGGTTCGTTATACTCTACATACTTTCCAATGAGTGTTCTGATCGCCTATAAATGACTAATTGTGGAGAAACCCTTTCGAAAACCAGCCTGCTCTACAATTTCATAGGAGTCGAAATTTGCTGCTAATCTGTCCGTTATAACTTGCTTGTAAAGGTTAGGTATTAAACTAATAGGCCCATCTTGGGTTGAGTCTCCCTTTTTAAACAAGAATATGACTTTCGATTCGAGCCAGCATTCTGCTACTTTGTCCTTGGTAAAGACATTATTTATTGAAGAGTTCTTGGATACGTCTTTCTAACAGAGGTTCGCCAAATATGAGCGTTTCGCTTGTTATCCAATCTTCACCAGAAAACTTACCGTTTTTCATTTGTTTCAGTGCCTTTTTTATTTCCTCGATCGTTATATCTGGTAGATCATCTGAGCCATCATCCAATATTGTTCCGGTTCTTTTTATTGAGGTTGTCATCGTGGATGAATACTTAGTACTAGAGTGTGTAGAATTTTTCTATAGTTTCACATCTCTTTTTTTATTGTTAAAATTATGTTGACCATTTTGTATTTGCATTAATTGCCTTGAAGTTGTGAAATTGATTAAAATAGTTTATAAATCTATCCACCTCTCAAGTGGGATAATCATGATAATGTAGGTACAGAAACAAATTGTGTTAATTCGATCTTACTGAAAGCATTTAATCATATAATCCATATACAGGGTGTCCCAGGGAAAATAGTCCACCCTGCAAATCTTAAAAACTAAATTTTTTAGCGAAAAACGGCCGGACACGTCAAATTAAATTTTGAGGGGACATGTTATGGCATATACCTGCGTTTCTCTGCCTTCATCCCCCTACCCTCCAGACTCCAGAGCCATCCAATAATTTTTTTTAAATGGAGAGAGGGAGAAGGATTGAGTGATACCTTGATTAAAAGGTAATTTTATTCTCTACATGTCCCTGTTTTTGTTTTTTATTTTTATCGGTTCGTTCTGAAATAATGATGATCGAGTCCGAGATCGAGTCTGAATATTAATGTGTAATTCAGTTTGTTGCAGACTTGCTAGATCTTCTGATCTTATAACTTTGCACGTTCATCCATATTTTTTAAGAACGAATCCATAACAATAAAAAACAAAAACAGGTTCATGTAGAGAATAATAGTTATTTATGCAACAAGTGTGTAAAGTAAACCTTTTTTCACGAATGTGAATTTTGACTGAAACTCGAATAGCACTACCATCAAGATTGGATAAGTTTAGTTTTCATTTTTTTCCCTCCAATATTTACTTGTAAGGGAAGGAAGCTCTTTACCTTTAGGTAATATCTACATATAAATTTTATTCGTCAAAAAATCAATTCCAAACAAAATCGGTTGACTGAATTTGCGTTTTCTTTGTCTCTATAAGTATATATTTTTGTTCTCGTTATTCAACGCAAATAAATATCCATAAACAACCTTGTAATTTCCGGATTTGCAAAAAAATTGAATAATAAACATTGAATGTGTGCTGGTGCAACAACCGCAAACACCCATTTGTAAAAATAAATAAATAGCAAAAATAATATAATAAAATGTCAGAATACCTTGCAAAATTACGTTTGGAAGTGTTTGAAAAAAATAAATAATTGAAAAGTGAACCTCTTCCGGGTGTCGTTGACATAAGCACTGCTGCTACCCTATCAATCTTAAGAGTAAATGCAGCTATGATAATGTTGAAAAGGACCCTACAATTTTTTTTGCTAAATAGCGAAATTTGTGCAACTAACAGTCATTTCAGGCTGTCTTGAATCATGAATGTAACAATGGCATAAACATGCTGAAAGTGTAATATTTTCATTTTTCTACACAGCAATTTTGTTTTGTACAATTTCATTCTACAGTTCATAGAAGAAACAGCTGATATTGCAGATATTCAGGCCTATGATGTATCCTCTCCTGTTATTTTGACAGTTGTGTTATAGCTCAAAATCTATTTTTACGTGTACAATGAACAGTGACAGATAACTTAACGTTGCTGTTAAAATAACAGAAGATGATACATCATAGGCCTGATTGTATCTATTTTGAATTTATGAGTTGGTTCCAGGAGCAGAAAAAAAAAATGGCATTTTGCCACTATATGGCAATTGAATAGTTTCAATATCTCGAGTATCACTTTGGACAAGAACTCTTCAATACTTATAACAATAGGCGAAAATTATTCAAATAATTAACCCGTTTTAATAATTAAGGATACTGAATAATTAATTCATTTGAACTCTCTATTTAGAATTGTTTCGAATATTCAATTATTTGAGTTGGCAACGGAAATTCAGTTCTACAGGACCCTCTCGAGTCACGCAGTATAGCGGGTCAATATTATCCAATAACTGCTCTTACCTCTGGCATGTATTCCCGTGTTTCCCTGCTGCTTTCGTCGTCCTCTTCCACACTAACTTCATCACAAATAACAGTCAAAAAACAAGCAAACAAAAACAAAAAACCAACACTCAGTTTTACCTTTGATTGCTCACACATATTTACAAACTTTCAATTTGTCCAACAATGGGTCATTCTCAAAGTGATCAACCTACATTATCAATTATTATGGTATGCATAAACAATAAATTTTTCGTCAAAAAAAAATTCTCGGCGCAAAAGCGTAACGGTATCGTGTGTAATGCATTCAATCAGCGACACATGACTGCATATCGTCCATAGGCACCATGTGCTCTCTGCAAGAAGTCCTTTCTACATTTCTACCACACAGTAATGATTGTTGTTGGGTGGGATGAATGGGTTTTGTTGTACCGTATAGATTTACGATGTCTAGAGGTTGCAGACAGATGGTTAGCAGGATTACAATTTGGGTTAGAGATGACACTAATAGATTTGTTATTGTAATAAATTTTCGATTGTAAATGTGAAGTGGTTTCTTAAGCTAACTTTTACTATCATCGTCGTGAGAAGCAGGTCTGATGGGAGGTCCTTAAACTTAGCAGATAGATAACAGGGGTATCCTGGTGTTTGAGGGTAGCATCTGTCAGTTACTTGTTGCATTCTGCCAGCTGTAAATTTTTAATATATCAGGGTCAATAAAGCTGGTCTACTATCCCTGCAGATCCAAACAAAAGTAAAAGCCTCTATAGAATTCATTTAAAAAAAAAAATCATTCGTGAGTAGTAAGGATTTTCAGCTAGTATGGTTTTGTTCCCTTTTAAAGCGGAGAAAATAGGCAATATGCTTTATGATAATCGGTAAATAATTGTATGTTTGGCTAGAAATTGTGTTGTTTACGTCTAGCGCGACTATTCGAGGAATTCTATTGTATTCAAGTAGGGCGCCGTGTTTTTCCAGATAAATCCCAAGTACAATGTCGGCTATAAATATCGCGCATTTACACAGTTTAGTCAGTCTAATAAGAGCTTTGTTGTGTGAATTTAAATCAGAGTGTTCCTGAGTGAGATTTGTTGAGTACGTTTCGATAAGTGAATGAATTTTATAAAGTCAGTTTATTCAATGAAAAATGTTACTGTTTGTAAAGTGGGTTTTACGTCATTGGTTTTACTGGACCCATCAGAATCCGTCACAATATTAATGGACGTGATTTCAGGGCCATCTTTCACCTGCAGTAGTCGCGGACTAGAAACATAGAGTATATCCGCATTTTCAGTTTAATAATGATTCCATCGCCACACTTTTAAAACAAATATCGCTGTGGAAGCACTTTACATTCCATAGTGTTCTAGTTTGTAAAACAGAGGAGACAAAGACCTCAGTAAAGTCGCAACAAGTGACAGCTCTCGAATATGTCACGATTCCCGCAAAGTTTCAATGGTGGAGCTGTTTCTAAGAAAACCAAACTGTGAGGGGTTCAGTAATGAGGTAATTGAAAAGTCGAACCCCAAGCACCTTGCCAGAAGCCAGAAATCCCAATGAAGGTAATTGTCCTAGCCATTAGAAAACTTCCACCGGAGCCAAATGTTATAACTTGTAGAAAAAATGTCACCAGAAAGGAATTGGAAAGCAGTTGACAGTATCCTTCAGTACCCATAAGTTGTGCACATGGTAACATATCGATTCTCATTAATGCTTGCAATTCTAACTATCTCAACCTGTCTGTGCTATAAACCGCTCAGTGATTTTGGAGCTACCATTACTACCAATGTTGAAATTAGGAACATGTCGAGAATCGGTAAGCCGCCTAACAAAAACGGCCATAGGGCATTGAAAGCAATTCTGCATAAAAAGTAGGACGTGCAAAACATTGTCCACTTCAAAACTTAAAGGGTAAAAATGTCCTTATTAATCCCGTCTTAACAGAAATGCAGGCGGAAGCAGAATCTAGAGTTGGAGCTGAGTTTATGCAGCGTGTCTTGAATGGAGAAAATAATATTCAGATTAGATATTACCAAGGGATACCTCTAATTACAACACAACAAAAACCTAAATTCTACTAAGTTTTCTAAAAACTTTTCCATCATATACTAATAACTCAGGAAGAGGGGCTGGCGCACACATGAAGATACCATCCATGACCTCCAGTAGATGGAATGTCTGGCTGTGGAACAAGTGCCTTCTTCCATATCATTGCTTAATAATTGGCTCTTGATATGTGTTTATGTGGTGTGTTCTGACATGGAGGAAGATTGTGCGATTCAATGTTACCTTGCTTGCCACAGAATAATAAAATGTACCTTAGCTCGTTGACACTTGTGATTTTGGTAGTGTTGCTATAGAGCCCACACACGATTTTCTCGAGAACTATGTTTGTTCCGTTAGATACACCTACTGTTTACTGTTTCTCTCAGCTTAGACATAGCACTTGCAAATTCTTTGTCTTTACGCACCACCTTCAACACTGTAGCTTCTCCTTTTCCTGCAAACGCACTCACTGTGTCGCAGCCAGTGAAGGCGTGCAAACCTAGTAATACTAGACACATATCCTCACCTATTTCTTCAAACATTTCCTTCATATTGAAGTACTCCAGCCGATTGATAGTACCCTTTCTTAGGAAGATATTGCATCTTAGTTCGATGAAGGAAGGCATGGTTTGTGGTGTTATAATAGCGACATCAGTATCATCACAGTTAATATTTACATCTCTAAATCCAGATTTTGCTGCATGATGTGCGTGGAGCAATAAACGTGTATCGCCTTCTTCGTAAGAACCCTGCAATGATATTATTTCTGTTGTGTTATTTGATGTTACTTGGTAACAGCGGTCTTCACACGACACACATAATCTTGGACCCCAACCGGTTAGTGTAGTTTGGTTGTTGTCACTCGTGCGTCAAAAATTTGATAAGCCACGATTTATGATGAGAAACTTTGAGGAATTGTCTCCATTTGGTTATAGGATGGGCTGCTTTAATTCTAAAAAAGTTACGCGCTCCAGACATTCCTAGCCGCATTCTCTCAGAATTCTTTATTGCTATACTTCTGTACGTCAAAAACAAAATCGATTAGTGAATAAGTTAATTAAACAATTCTGGAAAATAACTTATCAGCTAGGAGTCGAAAAGTGTTTAGTACTTCAACAAATTGTTGTACTAATGCCATTCCATTGATAACATATGCAGCATTAACCGGTAGTACTTCAGCTGGAGGAAAGTTCCTACTTAAGATTTCAAATAGTTTAGCTTTATTAGTTTTTCTTATTGTTCCATCCGTTGCTGTCCACGGTAGAGGTCCCAGTGGATTTGACAAAACAGTTTTCATGTCAGGCTCTCTGCGTTGAGCAACAATTGCTATATGAGCAAACAAGCGTCTATATGCTTTCAGAATTAGTTCCTTCTCATTCACTTTCATACGTTTTTGTTTTCTTAGATCCGCAAATGTTTTTAGGTTTTGCCTTTGCATAACATAGTGTTATGTACGTCTTTAATTATTTTTGATTTCGAAATATCTCTTAAAAATCGCTCCTATTGCATGTGCCTCGAGTAAGTCTTTGGTGATGTTCGCAGTTGGAAGACTACCAGTCGAGATGTTAACGATATCTAAATTCACAAATGGGTTGATCCATTTGTTGGTGAGGAGGTTCATTATAGATGAAACGTGACGCTCATCTTTGAGAATTATAGCTGGTGACAGGTCATTATGAAAAACATGTTTTGAAGAAATGCCACCGGTTTCATTACGAAGCATATGTAGGAATGCTGCTTTCATATCAGAAGTCAGACAATATCTTGCAACACCTGCAGGTTGCTTGCTAAATTTTGTAATTCCGCTACTGCCCTGCGTGTCCTTGTTGATGGATTCTTCTATTGTTTAGTCCACGGGAATTCGACCAAAGGGATTTTCTCTAGACATTTGTATTGAAAGTTGACCGGTTGCGAATGCTTGGTACACAGTTAGATGTGTTTTTTTTTAAGTTATCATATCAGCGTACACAGGTAAATATCGAGCATAGTTCAGGTGATCGTACGAAAAGCACCAAGGTATCATCATTCTGATTCCTGATAGATACAGGAACCAGTTACCCTCTCTAGTGGCTCTAATCAATATTAGTAAAATCACCATGTCCACATATGACATCCACAGAGATTATAGGTTTCCGTTATTTTTTCTTAGGAAATCTAAGTATTGTCCAAATGCATCACTTAATGCAGAAAATGTACTACCACTAACAACTAACGAGCTCTGAATATTGTACTTCATTTGATATATACAAATATGACAGCTCTTTCTTCAAATCTTCAAGGTCTTTGGAAACAACTGTATCTGTTTCTTCAAGCCACGGCAAAAATGACTTCCAGATAATCCTCATCATTGCTTCAAAAACTACTTTATGCGTGCGTACTGCTCGATTATAGTGTTTTCCTGTGATGATAGATGACAGCGACCCCTCTGCCGCAACACCAGCTTCCACAAGTAAGTCAGATAATCCAGCATCCTGAAAGCGCTTTCCTATACAGCCCATGAAGTTACAAATAGCATGGGAACCACCAAGGTTTAGCACTATGGAGTGAAATTTCTCGGGGTGTTTCCACAACACTTCACGACACATCTATTTAGGAGTTATTTCAACGACTTTACCAGAGAGGGATTTAAGGGAAAATGGGAGCAGAATATGCTTCGGAGTTTTAAACTTTCCCTTCGTGATAGCATTAATAAAATCTTGACCCTCGTCTTGACCCAATGACCAAATTTCGCCTTTAATTCTCTAACTCTAACTCTACTGGAATGTTGTATTCTGTTATCTCCTCTCAAGAGAGACTGCAGAAACAGATGGGTATTCTTTGGAAGTTGGAATTCAGACAGGTCCTCAGGCGTTGGTGGCCATACATTTCCACTTTCGAGTTGCAGGATTTCATTACGGATTAAACATGCAGCAGTAATCATATTCTTATCGGAACATGTCTCTATTGCTTTTACTTTTGCAGATAATTGGTCATTCATTCGAACTAAATCATCTCTTGGCATACTGTTTGGTAGCATTAACAGGTGACCACTATCGTTAGAAACGAAATGAATTTTAGAGCTATACAAATTTTCCAACTTGCGTCTTAAGTTTTTTTCGTGTGAGACTTCACTTCTGAGATTCCATTGTTCTTAATACAATGAACGTAACGGCTAGTAACCTCGGTAAATTTCGCAACTTCAGGATTATCAAGAAGTTCTTCCATATATGCACTAAGTTAGTTCACTAAATGCTGCTTGTTCCACACTAGCATATTTCTGAAATTCCTGTTCTTCTAGGGTCGTTTGCGCTATTTCAGATGATTTAGCTGAACTATCAATGCGTGTGTCCTTACGATAGCATGAAAAATGGTACTTTGGTTCTGCTGGAACAAAACACATAGTCTCAGCTAACCCAACAATTCTGCTGTCATTTTTCGATACAGCAGAGGCTTTGATTGTAGATATCACTGTATCTCAACTCCACACATTGCACTAGATCCTCAAGTGTTCTACTTCTTGTCTTGTACTTCTGTTCTGTCTTACAAAAAATGCTGATGAATGGTAGAATTGGTCCTGACGTATTTTGGTGTAATGATTTTTTATGTAACCGCACTGTAGTGTAGTATTACATACCCAGGTTCGTTCAGTAAGATGGAACGATGAGAATTTTTATTAAAGTCTGTTTTTTTTTAAAGATAATTCCCCAAGTCAAAAATTTAGTAACTATGTTGGCAACACAAGCCTTTTCTACATAAAAAATTTGAAAGCATTGACAATTTTACATTGTATTGCCAACATAATGTCATTTTGACATTTATCTTTAAAAAAAAAACAAACTTCACCTTTTAAACAACAAATATTTTGAAAAACGAAGTGAAAAACAAATAGGACCTACGTTGTGGAAACTTACTCAATTTTACTTACTGGACATGCGCCCGACATAGCAAATATTTGGGAATTTTAAGGGAAGTTGTGATATGTAAAAGAAACGAAAAATTTGTGAAACGTCTACTTTATTATTAAAGTAAATTGTACCGGTCTAACATTCCTCAAAAATCGAAACATACTGTGTCAATTTAATAATAATTGTGAGTCATTAATTCAATAATTTAAGTCAATAAAAGTTTAAATTAGGTACCGTCTTTGGTCTGAGTGCTAAAATTTTAATTACACACACAACATTCAATCAACACTACCTATAATCAATACTGAAGAGTTTTTGGTTAGTTAGCCAGTTTCCCAGCGGATAATGAGGTCCCATACGGGAAGCTACTCAGCTATAGTTGTTTTTGAGCCAATATCTCTAGATTGATTATTTCAATTTGTTAGGATATTCTCTCGTCAGGGTAGGAAAATGTTAGTAAATTCAACAAGGCTCTAATGCACGCTCTAAATCCACAAAATCAAAATCTCAGCACAAAAAGACAGCACATAATTTCTTAAGTTCTAATTTACTTCTTTATCTGCGTTGTTTACAGTATGAAACGATTTTTGTTAAATACATGAACAATGCACATGTTATAAAAAATGTTATAAACAAACAAAAAATACATAAAAATGAACAAAATAATAGGAACTTGCATAAATTGAACTCTCAAAAACAAAATAACATTTAATCCACTAACCTGTGAACGCTCCTTATACACACACTAATAACAAATTGGATTGAACAATCAATTTTAATGCAAAATAGAAATGAAAATTGAATAATAAATAATTACAGACACGCGTCTAAAGGAACAGTTTAGCTTCTTTTTTAATGCCTAATCGCCTCTTCTCTAGCTCCCGTTCGCAGTACCGTTCAGTACGCTTCAGGCGCATACAAGGTTGCAACATTTATTTTTATTCAGCAAATTTAAAAAAAAAGTAAGATTTGAAGAAATATTATTTTAAATAGGTGGTTTTCCTCAGTAGAAGACACTGATGATTCATCCAGTAATGTTGCGTTCTGCTTAGCCGTAATACTAGCGAGTTTAGATTTGATGGTAAAGATGTTTCGACATTGGCGGTGGTACTTTAATACAGGAAATTCTTCTCCGGTAACTGACTTTGCAATTTCCAGCTATCTTTCGTGTTTCCTTATTGTCGCTGCGTTCAGGAGAGTTTTCCATCATTCGATAGATGATAGACTCACTAAACTGCTGTTGTCGCTGGTACAGTAAATGATGCATTTATTGGTCTATCTGTAATTTTTACTTTTTTTGTTGACTACAGACAAATTGGAATAACAAAACCGATATCTCCTGCGCGACCATCTTTGTAACAGCATTCCGTCACTTAGCAACCCAATTTCACAAACTATTATCTCACACATTGATCCACTTTATACTGCAACAAAACTTGTATGATACTTTTACTAGTCACAAATAAATATCGACTTTAGAATAGTAAACTGCCTACGATTTTCGCCTGGCGGCCATATTATATGTGACGTCATAACGTAACTAAACTACCAAATCTCAGAGAGTATCATCCGAAATATTAATCCTAGCTCTATGATGAATCAAAAAAATTTGTATGATACTTTCACTGCTTACACATGAAACTAGACTTTGAAATAGTTAACTACCATTTGCGCCCGGCGCCCAACTTTATGACGCCGTAATGTAACTAAACTACCGAAATTTACTAAGTATCATCCCAAATGTTAATCCTGGTTTTATGCTGAATCAAAATTTATATTTTAGTATAACATACCCGGGTTCGCTCAGTAAGATTGAGCGATGAGAATTTTTATTACCTTTTAAACAACAAATCTTCTGAAAAATTAAATGAAAAACAAATAGGACCTACGTTGTGGAAACTTACTCAATTTTACTTACTCGACATGCGCCCGACATAGCAAATATTTGGGAAATTTAAGGGAAGTTGTGATATGTAAAAGAAACGAAAAATTTGTGAAACGTCTACTTTATTATTAAAGTAAATCGTACCGTTCTCGACCTAGAATTCTCGAGGGGAAAGAGAACGGCAGAGAAACCCTCGATCTAACATTCCTCAAAAATCGAAACATACTGTGTTATTTTAAATAATAATTTTAAGTCAATAATTCAATAATTTATGTAAATAAAAGTTTAAATTAGGTACCGTCCCTGTTTTTTTGCTAAAATTTCAATTACACACACTACATTCAATCAACACTACCTATAATCAATACTGAAGAGTTTTGGTTAGTTAGCCCATCTGTGGCAGGTACTGAGGTTCCTGGTTACGTAAACTCACAGCTATAGTTGTTTTTGAGCCAATATCTCTTTCCTTTGTTTGGTAGGATATTCGCTCGTCAGGGTAGGAAAATGTTAGTAAATTCAACAAGGCCCTAATGCACGCTTTGAATACACAAAATCAAAATCTCAGCACAAATGGACAGCACATAATTTCTTAGGTTTTAATTTACTCCTTTATCTGTTTTGTTTACAGAATGAAACGATTTTTGTTAAATACATGAACAATGCACATGCTATAAAAAATGTTATAAACACACAAAAAAACATAAAAATGAACAAAATAATAGGAACTTGCATAAATTGAACTTTCAAAAACAAAATAACATTTAATCCACTAACCTATGAACGCTCCTTACACACACACTAATAACAAATTGGATTGAACAATCAATTTCAATGCAAAATAGAAATGAAAATTGAATAATGAATAATTACGCACACGCGTCTAAAGGAAAAAGGAACAGCCCCAACTTGTTCTCAAGTGCCTCTAATGCCTAATCGCCTCTCCTCTTGTATCCTCTTCGGTTTTCGGTACCTTCGTTTTCTGTGGCGCGCTCGTTCAATCCTAAATTTAAGGGCGCATACATGGTTGCAACATTTACTTTTATTCAGTAAACTTTGTTTTTAAAAGTTAAGATTCAAAGAAATTATTAATATTTTAAATAGGTGGTTTTCCTCAATATGATACCCTCACTCCTTACAAATGAAACCAGACCTAAACTGGTTAATTTCGATTTTCGCCCGGCGGCTATCTTTGTGACGTGATAACGTAACTAAGCTACCGAATTTTACAAAGTATCATACCAAACATTTATCGTACCTTCATGACAAACTAATCTGAAACCGCACATGTCCCCTGGCTCAACGCCTATATGTAGAAATCATTCCAATAATGTGACGCTTGCAAAGTAAAATTTAAGCATAAAAGCAGTTTGGAGAAACGATATTAACCCACTCGGATGACAAAAATCGTAATTGCAACATATGCGATGCCAAATTTAAAACCAAGGGAGTTTTAAAGAAACATGTAATGACACATTTGGATTTCTATCCATTTGAATGTGATACTTGCAAAGCAAAATTCAGACAAAAATACCATTTGAAGAGCCACCAACTAATACACTCGAATATTTATCGTTTTGAATATTTAGAATAGTATTAAAATTTACAAAAAAATGCAGATTGATTATTTTTTCAAAAACTTGTTCATCGATATTTACTTTTTTTTACTTGACGTTCAATTTTTTTCTGATTCTGAATAGCCCATAATAAACCAATAATAAACTAATGAAAAAAAAATTTTTGATTGTAACCTCCAGACTCTCGCCTAGTCTGGTCTCGTCTCGTCGAGACCTCACGAGACGAGACCAAAAGCCAGTCTTGTCTTGAAAAGTCGAGACTCAGTATGTCACCAATTGTATCGCGTCACAAAAAAAGAGATCTCCAAATTTTTATAATTTATTAAATGGTAGAGCCCCAGCTCCAGAGTTGCTATACGTGTCCTTTCTAGAGCCACCATATCTTACACTTCCCCATTCACATCATGAGATAGATTTTTTTGGCTTCCAAAACAAGCCTGCATCAGGTACATGGCAGTGTTTGACTGTGATGTGATCTAAGCAAGTGACTAGTCGATATCCTATTCTTATCAGCTAATCTGTTATTCATATAGGTACCTGCATCTTAAATTTGAAGAAACATTCGCCTATTTGGAAGGTATTTTGCTAATTTTCTCATATTTATAGTCCATTTCATTGCAGTTGATAGCTCAAATCAATGACTTTTTAAAATTTTAAAATTAAGTTTTGTAAATTGGGCTTTGCTCGTTGATAAATAAATAAATAAATAAATATACTCAAACTCGACTTTGTAAGCTTTAACCGCTTCTAGTCCTCCATATTCTATGATTCGAACCAATATCCGTTTATGTTTACTACTCGAATTTCCGCCGACTTGAGATGCTTATCGCCTATAAATGCAAGTTTGCAAAATATCAACGAGCTTTCTCTCAAATCAATTGATTATCGTTCGGGACGATTGTCCTGTTTCGATAAATGCAACAGGTGTCCAATAAAGTGATTGGAAAGGGATTTACATTTTAGATCTATATAGGTATGTCGGATAAACGAGCATTTTAACTAAAACTGCTTCAGCTTATAAAAATATGTTTTTGTA